TGGTTGGTAGGCGGGGGGGGGGGCGCCTCCTCCTCCTCCTCCTCCTACTACTACTACTACTACTACTACTAGCCACAACTTACCACCGACTTACTACCTACTATTTACTAATTACTTACTACTGGCTACTAACTACTATGTGCTAACTGCTATAACTGCTAACTGCTACTGCAGCTGCTGCTGCTGCTGCTGCTGCTACCACTGCTACTACTCCTGCTGCTACCACCGCTACTACTATATACTGCTACGTTGACGACTTGTTGTGGTTGTCGTGATGATCGAAAAGCAGTAGTGATCCCCTGTTTGATGTCGAAACTTCATTTCATTGCAAGAGGCCGCACCGGAGTATGGCGAGCGAGTCTCCTTTGCTGTCGCGCTGGGCCCCGTAGGCAGTTACCGGTGAGATTTGGAGTTTCAGGCTTCGGGGATTGAGGGTTCGGAGAGTATTCTTCGCACTTCAGGCATTGACTTGGGTAGAAGGGTACGGGACTCAGCAGCTGGCGAGCGGCTCAGTACTTTGTACGGCTATGGCGGCTATGGTTCGTGGGAGGTTTTAAGCTTTCACACTGCGGTCGGCCGTAATATGCTTCAGGCAATTTCAAAACGATGCGGCTTAGCGATGCAGCTTAGGTTTCTGCGAACAGCATGGAGCGCTCGAAAACTATTTCTACTATCTACCCGGTTAAAGTTCTTTGAAATTACATCTTCAGATATCGCCTCCCGCTGCAAGAGGTGCTCGGCTCGTAGACCGCTGCGTGCCGCCAGCAGCACTTGCGGAGGCCGGTTGGCACCCCACAGAGCTCGCTCGGCAGCAAGTGAGTTTCCGACAAGAAGTGAGTCGACCAATCACTACTTTGCGGAGCAGGCAGTTCGAATCTCACGATGCTAGATTAAGAAAAGGCAGATTCTAGCCATTCTAGCCAAGCTTAACCTGGCATGCTATACACTGTGGCTCAAGCACAGGGCCGTGGTCCTCCCAGCCAAAGCAGCTGCAGGACGCGCCCTTCGAACTTCTTTGAGAGTGAGGCTCCGCCCCTCCGAATGCAACAACAGTGGCCACGGCCACGGCCAGGCCCACCACCTGGAGCATGGTGGTCCACGGTTATGCTTCCGACCGCAATCGGGCCCGGGCCCGGAGAGAGACACCGGAGGCTTGGCGTGCCGCCGGCCTCCGTCTTGCTCGGTGAGAGCACGCCTGTGGCGCCTAGGATCTCTCAAGCTTCCTGGCTGCAGGCCGGTTGAGGCTGCAAAGAACTTAGAAAAGCATAGAAAGGTAGAAGCACCATGGCTATTTGCAATTCTCCGGAACATTGGTACTGCATACTTACCAGCCTTTCATGACTCGGCGATGACGGCGTGCTCTTAGTCTTAGCATTCCGAAATCCTACTGCGACTGGGTCACAAAGGCTGGCTACCACAGAGAGCCGGCGCATCCGCCGCTTGCCGGTCGTGACCTTGGGTTGGGTAGGCATTGGATGCCAACACAAGCCGTACAGGACTTCTGAGATTTGGCGGATTGCTGGGCTTGTAATTTGACCTACTGTCACACGAACACTAGCCACAGTCATATCAGGATCCGCCACCAACAACACCGACAACGGCACCACCTCCGCCGCCACTACCATCACCACCGCCACCACCATCACCAATACCATCAGGACCATGGCGGCCAAACCCCAGAGTCCATGTCGCCGCTGAGTGTTTGCAGACTGCAAGTCACAAGTCTCATACTCCATACACTCTTTGAATGAAGCCTGTCTAGAAGATATTAAGAATCCCATTCGGGGCTGCTTCACTAAGTCTCGGACTTCACGGGCCTCGGGGCTGTCGAGGTTGTCCTTTCATGCTGAGGCTTGGGTCCCCAAGCTCCCGAACTCCTGAAGAATTCAGTGATCGAATATAGGGGCCTCAAGAATTACCTGTATTACATTACGGCCCCTATATAACACAAACCCTTGTAGGGCTTGCGAGTTTAGAGTTCAGGGCGGTGAGCGCCGAACTGTGCGATGACCACGTCTATGTTAAACAATCGTCGATCTTGAGGCAGCAAGACCAGAAGGAAACACCCCATGCCCACATTCCGAGATTGCCCGCTTCATCAGAATCGAAGTAGAAGACGTAAGACTTACTGCTGTCTGTACAACAGCTCAAAAAGGCCACATTGATGGCAATGCCAGCAAATAGAAGATCATGACAAGAAGTCGCCCTAGTCGCTATGCCGGAGTCTGCAAAGGTCAAAGATCGATATACAAGAAAGTGCGGATGATAGTCATCCGATGACAAATTGTATCGCAGAGAGGTCAGAGGATTGTTGGTTGCCGTCAAGATTCTGTTATTAAACTTCCTGTTATTCCTAGATATTATGTCTACAAAAACCATAATTCGTATTTTCCTAAACCCTAAATCCCTAAATCCCTAAACCCTAAATCCCTAAACCCTAAAGACCTAAGCCCTAAACCCTA